GAATTTTTGTAAGCCAGTAACTACTGGAGTTGTAAAAGCTTTGATGTTGTAACCCAGTAGTTACTGTGATTGTAAATGAATTTTTGTAAGCCAGTGACTACTGAAGTTATAAAAGCGAGTGCATCTTTGCATCAGGAATACAAAACGGTGCGGAAAGTGTCTGTCTATATGCTATATTACTCTATAGTTTGGATATTAAACGCGTTCTGATTGATCAACAACTGTGTTTTATTTTTTGAACGGAGTGATGCTCACGCCATCTGTGCAAAGCAAACTTTGCAAGGAAGTTAAGAGAAATCAGCACGGAAAACTACAACAGATTTAAAAGTGTATATGTCACAGAACGGAAAAAAGCGCATTCTATAAAATATTTCTTTGGGATTTTGCACAAGCGTGGTAGACACCCAATAAGCATGGACATCACAAGCATGCCATCAAGGACTTTGGATAAATCGATATACTAAATGGTACTCACGCTGGATTGGAGCAAGTTTTTTCTCTCTGCTGCTAGTTCTTCCTTGCGATGCTTGATCTCCTTTTCCTGTGACAATCAAATTCAGATATCTTATTTATTTGATGTTATAAATCTGTGTGTTTTGTGATTAAACTTATTAATACGAATTTGACTAAAACCCTTTATTTCTGCTCTCCACCTTTCTTTCAAATACCCAATTTTCATTCCCCACCTGTTTTTCTAACTCCTTCTTTTCCTTCATTAGTTCTTTACGTAGCTTGTCCTGCTCTTTTCGTTGTGTTTCTAGATCTTCTTTCTCCACGTCAAGTTTAGAAGACTAAAAGGACAACCAAAAAAAAAAAAAAAAAACTCAAAATTTGAGTTGAAAATAGTAATAACAGAAGGGTAAATTTTATACTGTAAAAAGATGAAAAAAAACTTTTTTATCATTACTGTTTCATTAGAAACACCGACGCAGCTCACACTAGTTTTTAGCTAGTTATCTCTTCTTGAGTTAAAAATAATAAGCAAAGCAGAGAGGTCCTAAGGAATAACTTTATTAATTTTGCTTATGGTTGAATACACCCATTCCACTTGAGTGCAATGCTCTCAATTTCAGACCCTTTGTCATTCACTTAGGGATACGGTTTCTTGAGCCCCATCCAATGAGTCTTCAATCTGTAGTCTTACATAAACACAGGGTTCGTGCCGAGGTAACGACTTAAAATTCAAGGACTATTCAAGGAGTATAAAAGGACCCAAATATAAATTTTCAAGGAGTATGTTCAGCTAACTATGCCAAGGTTTTACACGGTGATTGCACATGGCCGACTTTCAGATTTTCCGATCTTTCTGACTAGATCTATTTCAGAACCATGCAAGTAATGATCAAAGCAAAAATTCAAGGAGTTTTCAAGGAGTTTCGCTAATATCGTAAAATTCAAGAGTTTTTCAAGTGCCCTTGAAAACGTGAATTAAATTCAAGGAGTTTTCAAGGAGTTTGAGGGGTAGCACGAACCCCGAAAAACAATACTCAAGAGAATGATATGCAATCCGAATGGGAAAACATTACACCAAAGTGGAATAGGCTATCGAACTTTGGCTGATTTCCTCGGAACAAGAAAATTCAAGAGAAGCCACATAGACATCGTAACATCATATTCACGGCAAGTCAAATCTGTATCTTGAGTTATTAACAGTTTGTATACGTGTTCTAGGTATACTTACCAGAGATTCCCAGTCTTGCTGTAGCACTTGTCTCTTAGCTTCACAATCATTTCTTAATTCTGTCATTATTTCTTCATGTTCATTAGCCATGTCTTCTTTTTCACGTTCCCATTTCTCTGTTAATTCATACTTTTCTTTGTTTTCCTGTTCACCATCACATGAAATGTAAATTTGTTGTGGTAATTACCTTGGTATGGTTAATGTCAAGGTTAAATCATCACTATCATCATCAATATCATCATTGATCATCTTTATGGTCTTCATTGTATGGCTCAATGTCATCATTTCTACTATTACCACTGCCACCTTAATCATCATCATCATCATCATCATCCACCCACCATCCACACTACCCACACTCTCAACTCATCATCACCAACATCACCAATAACAACGTCATAATCATCATCATCATTACAAGCATCCTAATTATAAATACTATTATTGCCACTGTCCTCACCATCATCATCATTGATCACCACAAGCCCCACCTTAACGTCATCTTCAACACCATCACCA